AAAGAAGGAAATTATGTTGTAATTTTAAAGAGAGGGTAAAATACAAAGATAACTGCTGTTAAGAAAATTGGAAGCTGCTTCTTTATAATTTTCCCCTCTTTACTCTTTCTCTTTGCCTCTTTTATTATTTTCTTTACTCTTTTTTTGTTCAAAATTTGTGCTGTTTTTGTTCTTTAAAAAATTCTTTGATGAAAGACATATTAAACAAAGAAGGTGGAAGTAAAATCGTAAGTGAATGGCCAAAGGTCAAGTAAGACTCTATGCCTGTCGTGGTCATGTGGTTTTCTTAGTCACGTGTGATTTTCTAAGTCAGGGGTGTCAAACTCAATTTCATTGAGGGCTGCATCAGCATTGCGGTTGCCCTTGGGGGGGCAGGGGTGTGTGGCCAGGGTGGGTGCGGCCTACTGGGTGGTGTGGATGGAGTGGGTGTGGCCTACTGGGTGGGCATGGCCAGCTCTACATCGTTCGCGTCAAGGGTGCCTTTGGAGACCTGGGCAGGAGTGGGACAGATCTGAGGGTCTCTGGCAGAAGGGGGTGGAACCGAGGCAAGCACCAAGGTATGGTCCATTTCTTTATTCCTCACAAAGGGTGACATCACCCCAGCATGCACCCAGGGGGCAGGACCAACAAGGCAGGCTGGTTCCTCGCTGTTTCTAGACAGCCTTGTGGAGCTAAGACTGAATACATTTCAGCATAGATGGCCACCACAAAATTGTACATTGGCTCCTGGCCAGCCTGGGCCAGGGCCAAGGCAGCGGGGCCGTTCCCTCATTGTTTCCAGGATGGCTCTGCGGGCCACATGAAACCACTTCGCGGGCCGCATCTGGGCCCCGGGCCTTGTGTTTAACATGTCTGTTCTAAGTCAATATACAGCCCACAGGCATCTTCATGTACCATTTAGGGGGCCCAGTTTCTGTTAACCTTTACTGCCCTGCTGTAAAGTGCAACGCTGGGGAATAGCAGAAGAGCTGCAGGAAGTGACGAGAGAGGGATTAATGCTTTCCTCTGTGGTGTCTCATTAAAACTTGCTCTACTGAAACATGCATTTGCACTAAATGGGCCTCCTGCTGGCACTCAGAAATGCTAGGCTGATACCTTCAATGGGACTATTTTCATCTGGAGATAAATAAGGAAAGAAGAACATACTTCCACTTTTCCTTCCCATTCACTGCAGTCTCACTTCTCTGGATACCCTTGTAATTTCTATTTATAGCTCTTTAAAGCAGCCCGTTAATTGCTGTCACACAATTTAACATCCCATCCAGCTTGACCCTCTATCACCCCAAGGCAAGTCTGACATTTAAGACTTCATAATTTAGGACTTCATGGCAGCTGCCCACTGAATGTAGGAAGTCAGGCAGTGGTGAATAGCATCTCATTAGTGCCCTCCATAGCAGTCTCAAACAATTAATTGCACATTATCAGTGGTATCTGTCATGGTGGCTGGTTCCACACTAGTTTATATGGTGACATGGCCACTTTTTAATACATTCACTTTTTTGCATTTCGGTGTCATCCTCAAACCCATGTGACCCTCATACATTAGGAAATGCAGTGTTTATTCAGCCAATGGTCTTTGAGTGGCATCTCCAGGGCAAAAACTGGACTGATTAAAAATTACATTAAATTTAACTAAGATGCCCCCTGTGTATTTAATCATTTTCTATTGCCATACTAAAAAGTGCAGATTGGCAAGAACATTTGGAAGAGTTCTGAATCATAGATTTTTCACCTCAGTTCTACATCAGACTTTGTTTCTGACTTAGCTACAAAGATTATTTCGCCCTTTTGATACTCTCTTGCTTCATGCACTTTGACCATGGTTTAGGATGTGGCTTCCATGCACCCAGCCAGATGGCTCTGTGCTCTGTAATGCATATTAAGTCTATATAGTGTTTAACATTATGGCTTCATCTAATGTAATAGGACGTGAACAAGAATTACTATACTGTACATTCCAATTTACTAAAAGGTAAAAAGTATTAAAAATATACACCCTATATTCAGTAATGTGGATTTTCCTACAAAAGATTGAATCTGATTTTTTCCCCATTGCTCTCTACCTACAGAGATTTCACTTAATTTGCCTTTTTCAATTTGTTAATTTCCCCTCTTTATTATTTTTATAAAGATCTCAAGACACACAATACTCCTTCTCCTCCTATTTTCCCCACTGTAGCAACCCTGTGAGGTTAGCTGGCTGAGAGAAAATGGCTGTCTTGGAATCACCCAAGTGTATTCCTAATGTTATGTTGTGCAGAAATACCTGAAGAGTTTTGGTTTTTTTACTTGTAACCAGTCCTTTTTTTTGTTAAAAAAAAAAAAGGTGCCGGAACTCACACACGTCATACAACCCACCTTGCCTACCGTACAGGGTTCTATCCAAAAAAGGTGCCGGAATGCCATTCTGGGCATTCTATGAGAAAAAAAGCCCTGCTTGTAACCTAAAGTAGGACCTGAAAATTTCAGCTAGGGGACAGTTCTTGAATCATTAAAAAAACACTTAGCTTGCAACTTTTGGGGACAGAGGAGGGTGCAAGAAAAAAAAATACGTGCCACCGTTGATCTTCCCCATGTAATTGAATAAGGAAGAAAAAGTAAGTTGAGGGAGACTGCAGTCTAATAGAAAACGCCCCTGTTCCCCCAATCTCAGGAGTAAAAAGGCCATAGGAAGTGGCCTTAGCATCAGTGCCAGTTGTCTTGGGGAAGTAAAATTAAAAAAAAAACCAAAATGCATGCACACACTTTTTATCCTGGTATGAGTAAGCTGAGGTTACAGATTCTCCTCTATGGAATCCTCTCTTGAGTTTGGTTGTTTGCTTGAAGATATTTCATTAGCAGACGAGGTAACATCTTTAGCACTACCTGAAACACCTTTGGCACTGAAGATGTTGTCTAGTTGGCAATGCAACGTCTGCAAGCAGACAACCAAAGACTACACACTTCAGTCGTGAGCTGCACATAGTCTTTGATTTGAGTGCGCCCAGAATTTAGGTTGTAAATCACAAGACCAGACTCAGTTTTACCACCAGAATTGGTAAGTAAATCGTTGCGGTTGTTAAATGATTCACATGGTGAAAATTCTAAATTCAGCTTATCCAAAGGGTGCAAAATGTAATCCTGTGGCCACGGGATGGTCCAATCAATTTAAAAAGCAAACTGGTTGCCAAGCATCTAAAATGCAATCACCTGACTGCAGGGGGTGGTTGCTGCAGTTATAACTTCAAGGGCAGGTCATGAGTAACTTTTTAAGTCCGTTGCAACTTTGAATTGTTGCTAAGTGACCAGTCATAAATCAAGGACTACCTTCTTGGATATTCTCTTCTATTGGTTTCTCCTGTCTCTATGATAACTCGGCTGTTGTGCTTTAAATGTAGGTGCATTTAAGGAAAGTTTTTATTTGCTTAATAATAACATATGTTTCAGGTTTTTAATGATAAACAATACCCCAGAAAAATGGTAATATAAATGTTAGTTTAAAAATAGCCAGCGTATTATCTTTAAGTAATTTTAAACTTCTGAACATGAATATATGTGTTTATAACATTTCTATTTATAAAAAGGTGAATCAGAATCAGAGAATTAAAGCATTTATTCCTATTGGACTAACTTATAACCTATTTGTTAGGTTATTAATTAATGTTACAGAACTATTTTATAAATCAGAGGTCTCCAACCTCTTCAGGCTCGCGGACCAGAGGGAAGGAGAGCAGATTCAAAATTGGTGTGCGCATGCACGGGCGTGCGGGGCCACGCACATTGGCGCGGCACTAACAGCCTGTTCGCGCATGCACTGGCGCTGTGTGCATGTGTGAATTGCCATGCACCCCCTGCAGTGGCTAGTGGCCCCATCATGTCCCCTCGCATGCGCAAATGGGGCCGCGGGCACTAGCACAAATGGGGGGAAATGCACACCCATGCGTGCACACACCAGCCAGCCATTTCTGCAGCCCACTGGCCAAGAGCCTGCGGCCCAGTCCTGGGCCACAGCCCATAGATTGGGAATCCCTGTTATAAATGATAAATGTGTCATCTTAGATCAGAGGTAGGCAACCTTGGCTCTTTTATGACTCGTGGACTTCAACTCCCAGAATTCCTGAGCCAGTCATGCTGGCTCAGGAATTCTGGGAGTTGAAGCCCACAAGTCATAAAAGCCAAGGTTACCTACCCCTGTCTTAAGTCAATTCCTTGAACCTATGACTGTGGATCTAAATAGTCAACAGGAAAGCTAGCAGGTGATATATCTTGAATATAATTAGCGAACATTTCAAATGATCTTATAATCCACTGAATCTATTAAATAATTTCTGGACTGTGGATTTTGAGAGCATTTCAAAAATTAACAGGAACTTCCATCTTCCAGAAAAACGCACTCTCTTTCATATGGTTATTTACAGTCTTGTGGCTTTAGGATGAAACAAGAATTCTACCCATCAAGGGCACAAGCGTTCTGCTATGTTTCAACAAGCTAGCAGGCTAACTGAGCTCATGCTCTGAGAGGGAGTTTACATGGAAAAGAGAAATTTCACCACTACCAACTCTCCCCCACCCAACTGCCAAACACTGGGTTTAACTTGTCTGTGAGTCAGCTTCCTAAGTAAAAAACAGAAATGTTCACATCTGATTCATAATGCTACCAGACAAGGCACTCCAAGCACTATTAAATCCAAAGCCCTGTGCAATTCCGACTTCCATTCTAAAGTGTGGTTCTCTGCTAAGAAAAAGTGCAGGGAAAATTAGTAGAAAGGCACAAGATGTTATCAAGGTGGAAGGTATTGCCATTGGAATCCTGTTCCTTTATTGTGCAGTGACTGTACAAGAAAAACCAATGGAAGCAACCCAAACTTCAGGATTTAGATGGAATCTGAAGAAAAAAAAACAATATTACTTTTATGTGTACAATTTGCCACCTGTTGCCGCATTACCTTATCTTTTTCATTGAGATTCTGTCCTCTACCACCCACTGCCTTTAAAATAATTTATCAATTGTTTCTTCCTAGGTTACAGATTCTCAATACAGTTGGTGGACTTTTTCTGAGAATGTCCTTCCATTGACCAGGAGCAAACTGCAAACCTAACAAAGACCCTGGAGAGAGAGAAGATCTGCTGTTAGCTCTATGTTGTGAAGATGAATATTCTCAAGATTAATGGAGTGATAATTCTATTGACATTTATAGTTTCATTCATTTTTCTCTATGTTTTGCTTTTGCTTGGTGCAAACAACATCTAGATTTTAGTAGAACAAACAAGCATCTGTTCTATAGCCTGAATAGAGAGAATTCATCTTCTGGAGGTTTTTTTTTTTTTTTCTTTCTTAAAAGATTTTCTCAGATCCTGTCCTTTGTATACAGTATAAGTGGTGGAAACTGGCTGCTGAATCCCCAAGGTCATTAGGTGGCAGCATTCTTAACTCTTCGCTGCCACTTAAATGTTATTCAAAGTGCTGCAACCAAATCTAGTAGAGAAGGAAAAAAAAAAGGCCTGTCTAATAACATCCAATCTGGAAGCCCCCTATGGTCTTTTTCTTTCCAGCTTCTTTGCAATAAACTCAGAACACATGTTGAAACCCAAGATTTGATTAAGCAGGTAAGTTTATAGCTAGCTAATCTAATGGTAGTTTTATTTGGAATTCTGTTTGTGCAGTTGTTGCCTTTTCTTGCGTTTCTGAATTTCCCTTTCCCCCCCCCAACGTGTTTTTGTATCCAGAGATTTAGCTTAATTCTTTTACTAAGTTCCTGAGTGCAAGATGAGGCAGTTGGTTAGCTACCCCGTGTGTTTAAAAATTGGAACTAAATTGTTAAATATAGTACTTCTGGATTTTAGGGCTGGATGATCCACAGCATTTGCTGTTTTTCCTAGAGATGAGGTAAAAAAAAGAAGTCCTTGGATGGAACTCCCTAGCCAAACTAAAGAGATTCAGGCTGATTTCTAGCAGGCTATCCTAACAACCTTTTGCTGGAAAATTCCTTGAAAAATACTGGGATATTTTTAAATTATCCCTTTTCCCAGATCATCCAAATATACATACATACATACATACATACATACATACATACATACATACATATATTTGCATGTCCATCACATAGGAAAATTATCCCTATTGTTTACAGCCCCTCCAATATTTTGAAGAATGATTATGTACGGTAGTATATAGGCTAATCTAGAAGATGTTAAATACCACCAATGCAACACCTTCAATTGCCACTCTTGCTTAGAGGAAAAAAGAAAATACTCTGACTTCCCCGCTTGCCAGTCTAATTCAATTATTGGATTTCTTAACTCTGTGTTCCAAGCATCTTTTAAAACTGGAAAGACAATTTCATAATTTGTAATAATAGCATACTGTATCAATTTTTGACATTATTTCTTTTGGTTGTGTCAAATAATATTAAATTCATAAAAAATAGTACAGGTAGCCCTCAACTTACAGCTACAGTTGGGCCCAAAGTTCCGTTGCTAAGCAAGGCAGTTAAGTGAATTTTGGCCCATTTTACAACCCTTTTTGTTACAGTTGCTAAGTGAATCGCTGCAGTTCTAAAGTAAATTATGAAATCATTCAGCTTATCTGGCTTCCCGCCATTAATGTTGCCTGTCAGAAGCAGTCTAGGGGGGGTTTCAAATGGTGATCACATGACCCCAAGACAGGGCAACTGTCATAAATACATGCAACCTGCCAAAGGCTTTTATTTTGATCACATGACCACAGGGATGCTATAGCAGTCGTAAATATGAATCACTTTTTCAGTGCCGTTGTAACTTTGAACAGTCACTAAACAAATGGTTGTAACTTGAAGACTCTACATATGGGCAGGTTCTTGACTCAATATTTCAGCGTTAAGCTCTTGCCAGAAAAAGCAGTATAACTGGCAGGCAGCCCAGTGTCTATTTCATGGCCAAATATTGGTATAAAAATAAATAATCCTGTAAAAGTTATAATTCTTCAACAATTTTAATTGATTTAACCCATATTAAAGTTCTGTAAAAAGTCATTTGAAGGACTAGAGGAAATTGCCACTCATCAAAACTATTTTTTTTTCAAAATTTGAAATATTGTGCCAGTCAAGTATTATTCATTTTGTATATTTTGGGGAAATTTTTCATCTGGAAAAATATATAATTCAAAAGATTGCCAGCTTCTGATATAATATCTGTATTAGCCCTCTGCTTAGTTTGGTGCTCCATTATAAATGGAATCAAATAACTTAATCCTGCTGGTTTATAATAATTATATGTGAACCCCCAACTTCCCTGTGACTGATATAAAATCTTTCTTTTGTTTTCTTATAATTGAAGCTACAGCTTTCAGTTTTCTTTGCCATTTCATCAGTATTTTGTCTGGCGTTTCAAATGAGAAGGATCTGAAACAAATTAAGTTTGGAAAAGACCTTCATTTCAGTTTTAGTGAAGTTAGTATGATTACAAAATAGTCTTTCAAATGCTTTCCCAAGTTAAGTTTGTTGTATCTATTTGTACAATCCAACAATTCACTTAAAATAAACTGATTGTCTATTTAAGGCAACAATATTCTTGATTGCATGACATTCCTAAATTTCTTGAAAATGTAACAATTTGTCGATTACAAATGCTTTCTTGATTCCCTTATTAGAAAAAAAATCGCTGATAAACTTAGAATAATGAACTTTCAGAGACAAGAATCAATTATCATACCTAGGCAGATTAAATTCCAAAACACAAAATTGCAACAGGTGTAATCTTGTCAATTCTTGTTATGTACGGATATGGATATTGGACTTTTTAAATTAGTGGTGACTTTTACTTTTCATTTATTCATATTCTTTTTTGTATTTGTCCTCACAGCTTCGTACATTCTTTGTTTGCTTAATACTTTTCTCTTTGTGTAAATTACTATTCAATGTTTAAAAATCTAAATAAAAAACTGAAACAAGTTATGATTGTTTTCCCTTTTGTATTCCTGTTGTAAGATGTTGCTGCTTGCATTGTCAACCGTTCTCCATTTATCAAGAACTACCAGTCAGTCAAACAGCTCAAATTAATTTTCAAAAGTCGCCACAATGAAAGTCTACATCTACGGTATGTCAGACAGTTCCCGTTATCACCAATAGTAATTTTCTCCTCAGTGGATATATGCAGGTGGGGAATTTGGATTAGGATTGAGGGAAGATTAAGAGGTGAAAAGTGTTCTTCTTCCATAAAGTGGACTTGATCCAGACTGTCATCTCTGCATTTTGCTATTTAGTTAAAAGGAAAAATGTGCTCACAACTTGACAAGTATCAATTATGTATTTGATTTGATTAAGTTTACAGTAAATGTGAGGCAAAAAGGGGGGGGACAGAAGAAAAACATGCATGATATAAATCTGAGATCTTCAAATGCCTTAGCTTTGGACCTATCCCTTTTACTAGTTTAAAGTACTATTCTCTATCCTTGCAAACTACCCTATCATTAATTTTGCTGCCCTTGTTGCTATGACCCATCCTGACTCCATGAACTTTGTTGTGACTCAGTCCCAATACTGCGTAGAGAGGGCCTGATGGGTACAATAAGGTGATCTGTTGATGTCTCTCATTGAGCTGTCCTCCCTACATTAAGTCACCATCAGGAAAAATATCTGCCAGTGATGATGCTCCAACAGGCTGGAGCTGTTGTGTGATTCTGCCAGCAATGGTGCTGAAAAGGGATTCTGGCTTCTGGCCTCTCTGTTTTTCATCTCTGTGCTTTTCCCTTTGCCCCTCCTCCTACAACAACTCTGCCAAAACAGGTGAAGATTGATTGATTGATTGATTTCAGATCTGAGTTTTGGAGGAAGCTGAATCCCAGGTGGTGCTTTTGCTTAAGTTTGCTTTCTCTGCCCTTTTTTTCTTTCCTTTTTATAGGCAATAAATATCACATCCAAATTCTTACATGCTTTGTCTGGGATGGGGAGGGACTGGTGCCATCATTCCACCCGAAGCTTTATACCTTTAGCCTCAAATCAAATTCAGTTTTTGTTCTTCCCCTCCCCTACTTTTTGGAGTGTGGCACCTGACATCTAACTCAGTGAGCATATTTGGCTATTAGCTTGAAGACGAATTGGAACCTAACGGGATATGTAGGCCACAGAGAGTTCAGCAATAGCCACAGAAAAATCTGCAAAATGGTGGATGCAACATCACAGTCCTAGTCCCAGCCTTTGTACATGCACCGACATCTTCCCTCTCTCACACACACACACAAACAATGTCACAGTTGTCATCTTGCAGATTTTGATGCAATAATCCCCTGCTGATGCCCTTGATAGAATCTTTAAAGAGAATCAATTGAATTACAATATTCTGCTCTGTGTGAGTTCTCCCACCGTTGGGCCTATCTGTACACGAGTAAAGCTAAGTGGGAACCCAACAGCAAACTAACAGCCAAATGCTACAATTTGCTACTCCATTCCTCCAAAAGATGAACTAATAAGGCATCAGTAAAATCAAGATAAACTCATTTTCCTTCTCCACATTACTATTGGGGAGAGATTGTGCATTCACAAACACAAATACATACAGTCTACTTTTAATCTTTTGTTGCTGGGATAATGATAATAATGATCAGCTCTATAACAAGAATCTCCAGGCATCACAGCAATGGAATTAAATTACAATCTTCATAACCAGCTTCCTTATTTTAACTTTACGAGCAAATAAATATCCATCATGGGACCAAGCTATATAGCCTTAAAACTATTTAATAGCTCAGAAATAAATCTACATAAATATAAAGCAAGGTGGCATAGAAAATAATAATAATAATAATAATAATAATAATAATAATAATAATAATAATAATAATAATAATAGTAAAGTTGGAAGGGACCTTGGAGGTCATCTAGTCCAACCCCCTGCTCGGGCAGGAAACCCTACACCATTTCGGACAAATGGCTGTCCAGTCGCTTCTTAAAAACTTCCAGTGTTGGAGCATTTACTGCTTCTGAAAGCAGGTTAAGCAATTATCATATACAGTAAATTATGTCTTGATGATATGCAATATAATGCTTTTTCCCATCTATTCTGCTACTTGTTTTAAAAGTGCAGTAACTAATAACTTTGAAATATTCATTTTGATTTTGTCATGAAACTGAAATTTCAGATCATCAATCTTTGTTCTGGTAACACAATACTTAAAATTGCAAATCTCCATCAGCTATGAAAAATGCCAATACAGTAGCAGGAATTAACATGTAATTCGATACAATTATATGCTAGCTACAAAGCATTGCATTCTACTGAGATATTAGACAATAACTGTTTCATGAATGAATAAAAGCAACAATTGTCATACAGAATTTTCATATAATATAAACAAGTCAGTATAAAGGTTCACAGAATTAGCAAATAATTGTCAATAAAATCAATACAATATCAGATTCAGGGTTAATGACTTCAAATTAATGCACATCCCACCACAGAGTCAATTCAATGATTTTTTTGAGAAGTATCCATTCTGGAACAGCCCGAACCAGCTATTTTACATTGCTCTTTTCAGAGCAGGTCTTGTACTAACAACAATGGGTGTGATTCTCCCTTCTACAGGTATGTGTAGAAAGCACTTGGCACAGAATTTAAGTGCCAAAATGCTTCTATTTGACACTTAAAGCTGAAGGCTAAAACGTGAAAAAATGTTGCAGGAATTGGGTATATCTGGTTTAATGAAAAGAAGGACTAAGGGTGACATGATAGCTGCAGTGTTCCAATATCTCAGGGGTTGCCACAAAGAAGAGCGGGTCAACCTATTCTCCAAGGCACCTGAAGGCCGGACAAGAAGCAATGGATGGAAACTAATCAAAGAGAGAAGCAACCTAGAACTAAGGAGAAATTTCCTGACGGTTAGAACAATTAATCAGTGGAACAACCTGCCTCCAGAAATTGTGAACACTGGAGGTTTTTAAGAAGAGATTGGACAACCATTTTTCTGAAAGGGTATAGGGCAGAGGTCACCAACCTTCTTCTGTTAGCAGACCAGAGGGAAAGGGAGGGGAAAGCATTTTATACACATGCGCATGGGGCCACAAGCATATGTGCGATGCAAATGGGGCGGGGCTAGTGCCCACGTGATACTAGCCCTGCCCCATTCTTGTGCAGCACAGTGCCCTGTTTCCGTACCCTGAGGCTCGGCAGCAGCCTGTTTTTATGCCCTGCAATGCAGTGTCCTGTTTTCACGCCCCGCGGCTGCGGCAGTAGCAAAAGTAGAGGGGTGTGCACGCACATGTGCACACACTGGCCAACCTGTCCCATGGCCCAGTGGGCAGCAGGCCACGTCCCATTACCAGGACGCAGCCCACAGGTTGGGGACCCCTGCCTTATATGGTAAAACAATTTGTTTGTTTGTTTATTAGACTTATATCCCTTTCATTCAGGATCACAAAGCAGCATATATGGTGTACCCTCATTTCACCCCACAAGAACCCTGTAATTCTGGGTCACCCTACTCCTGGCCCACCACATCATTGGCTGAGCCTATTTAGATAGTACTATGGGAATACTGTAGGGCAGTAAAATAGTTTACAAAGGAGGGAGAAAAGAAGGTCCACTTAAATTCTGTGTCAGTTGCTTTCTATACATTATACCCGTGGAAGGAAGAATCAAACCCATTGTTGTTAATATAAGACCTGTTCTGAACAGAGCAATATAAAATAGCTTGTTTGGGCTGTTCCAGAACAGATACTCCTCAAAAGAATCTTTTTATTAACTCTGTGCTAGGATTTGGGTTAATCTGAAGTCATTAACTCTGAATCTGATATTTTATTGATTTTATTGACATCTATTTGCTGGTTCTGTGAGCCTTATACTGACTTGTTTATATTATGTGAAAATTCTGGTAATGACAATTGTTTTTATTCATTCACAAAACTGTTATTGTCTAATATCTCAGTAAAATGAAATAATTTGTAGCTAGCGTATAATTGCATCGATTTATATGTTAATTTGTGCTACTGTATAGACATTTTTCATAGCAGATGGAGATTTTCAGTTGTAATATTGTGTTACCAGAACAAAGGTTGATAATCTGAAATGTTAGTTTCATGACAAATCAAGCCCAACCTTGGCAACCTGAAGATTTGTGGACTTCAATTCCCAGAATTCCCCAGTTATAACAGCCAATGGTGAAAAATGCTAGGAGCCCTGGTTCAGTTGCATTGTATCTTTCAGACATGTAGACTTCAACTCCCGGAATTACAAGGGATGACCTTGCTGGCTCTTGGAATTCTGGGATTTGGTGGGCAAAACAGCTATAAAGTTATCTAGCAATCCTATGACGTTAACTTCAGGTTAAATCATAAACCTAGTACAGATTATATGATCATCATTACTTAAAGAAATAGAACAAAGTTTTACACCTTATGCATGGGGGGGTGCATTTGGATATGGTCCTTATAGTGTGTAGACAAATCCCCATAAATATAAACATCTTTGTTTATTCTAATACATTTAGTTGCATATGAATTAAACATTCCACTTTCATAGAGAAAAATGACTACAGCAAAGTTTTGCGTTACAGTAGTTTCAGTCTGTTTTATTGCTGAATTGTTGTATTAACTTGTTTTAACCATAACATTTAATAGCTACACATGCAGTTTGTGGCAGAGAATTGGGTAATCTCCAATGCTGATTATAGAAACATAATCAGAAAAAAGCTAGTGGTCCATTGAGTCTACCTTTGAGAGCTTTGTTTTATTTTTATTTATTTTTATTTTATTTTATTTTATTAATTTTTGTCAGATAATACCAGTGCTTTTTTTCTTAAAAAAAAAAAAAAAAGTGCCGGAACTCACACATGTCATACAACCTGCCTTGCCTACCCTACAAGGTTCCATCCAAAAAAGGTGTCGGATAATACACTTGTGTTTATCCCAAGCATGTTTAAACTCAGTTACTGATGACTGACCACTGGAAGTTGGTTCCAAGC